CAAAAAAAAAAAAAAAAAAAAAAAAAAAGAGAGCTTTGAGATCCAGGGAGGGAGTTGTGAAACTTTTCTAAAGCCCAAGATTGAGGAGTGTTCTTTTCAGAGGACAGGCTCTTATTTAGATAGGAAACTACAGGAACCCTGGCCTTGGTTACAGACCAAGAAATGGCCCAACCAACTTGGTCCCACTGAGATTTCTGAAGTTTACTCTGTAACCATCCCAACCTTCTCCTAGTTACAGTCTGGGAGAGGTCCTGCTTTTTCAGAGACCTGGAGGGAGATACCAATTTGCAGCCATGCAGGCAGGCCTACAGGCCTTGGTTTTTACTATGCTCCCAGAAGCAGTTCAATGACTCAGTTCCACATCTCTGAGCCACAGTTCATGACCAGTTTTGCCTAAAAAGAAACCCACACAGCAACGTGAGGAAACCCTCTCTGGTATTCAGTGAAAACTATATCCATTCACATCCTGACATAAGGGTAATTATACATGGACCCAATTGCAAAAACCTGCCCTCTGTCTGCCCTACAGATCAAAGTCCTGAAGAATAGTCAGTCTGTCCAAAATTAGAATGGGAATTACAATTACCCAAGGCCTTTGTAACAAGCCATCTAAAGGTGGACCCTAGTGCAGACACAGCAGCCTTGTGACCAAGCTACAATCCCTCCACTACAAACCCAGAGGGACCCATTTGCAGGTAGATCATGAGGTCAAGAGTTCAACACCAGCCTGGCCAAGATGGGGAAACTCTGTCTCTACTAAAAATTCAAAAATTAGTGGGTGTGGTGACAGGCACCTGTAATCCCAGATACTTGGGAGACTCGGGCAGGAGAATTACTTAAACTCGAGAAGCAAAGGTTACAGTGAGCCAAGTTTATACCACTGCACTCCAGCCTGGGTGAGAGAAGGAAACTCTGTCTCAAAAAAAACAAACAAAAAAAAATTGGAATTAAAGAGAAATTAAGTAAAAAGTTGCTGTTTGTGGATTGTATAATCTTATATATATATAAACACACATAGTACATTAAAATTTGTCTGAACTAATAAATACAGTCAATAACTTAACAAAACACAAAATTAACATGCAAGTTATGGTTCCATACACTTAAACTGATAATGATAGAGAAAGAAAACAATCTTATTTATAATAGCATTAAAATAATAAATTTCTGAGAACAAATTCAAGAATGTAAAAAATCTTTACAATGAAATATATATCAATGAAAAAAATTTAAAAAGACAAAAATAACTTTAAAAATATTTCATTTTGCCGGGCGCAGTGGCTCAAGCCTGTAATCCCAGCACTTTGGGAGGCCGAGGCGGGTGGATCACGAGGTCAAGAGATCGAGACCATCCTGGTCAACATGGTGAAACCCCGTCTCTACTAAAAATACAAAAAATTAGCTGGGCATGGTGGCGCGTGCCTGTAATCCCAGCTACTCAGGAGGCTGAGGCAGGAGAATTGCTTGAACCCGGGAGACAGAGGTTGCGGTGAGCCGAGATCGTGCCATTGCACTCCAGCCTGGGTA